CTGCTGGCTGCTTTGTGTTTGCCTCGTCTGGTCATGTCTGCTTTTTTATTTGTTTCTTCCTGTATATGTTAGAAATGCTTTTGATTATAAGTAATTAAAAAGGCCTCACAGTGGAATAAATCACATAGGAGCTGTTTTCCTCCCATTATAACAAGCTTAGAGGTAAGCAATTGTTCTCATTGGCTCAGCTGCTCAAAGAAATCACTTCTGTCTCTCTGCTCCCTTATCCTTACTGTGTTGGCTTTTGTTCTTATGCTGGTTGCTTCACCGTTGCAATATGGCGGCCTCAGGACCATTCACCATAGTTTGGCTTCAAGGAAGGAAAGAGAGGGGAGGTGATGCCAGCCCCATTTGTTGACTTTTATCTGGAAAGCAAATCTTTTCTGAGTCCCAGAAGTGCACTTAAATCTTACTGGCGGGAGCTAGGTCACATGGCTGAAAGAAGGCTGGGAAACTTGGGTCAGGATTAAAATGATTGACTTGGACTCGGGCCCAGGTCTCCGGTCCCTTGAACAAAACCAAAGGTCTCTGAGCAAGATAAGTGCAGACCTGCATATAGGGCAAGCAGCCAGCAGCGTCTGCCACACTGTCCAATGCTTTCCTTTTCTTTTACAGTTTTTAAGCACCTCATATGTCGTGTATATTTTGTGCCAGGCTCTGGGCTAAGTGTTTATTTGCATCAGGGTTTTGGGGTGCCCTGTTGTCTAGGTGAGAAAACTGAGTTTCATGCAGGTGAAGAGACTTATTCCGTGTTGCCTCACCTGGAGCCATGCAGGTAGGCAGATGTGTCAGTCCCAGCCTTGTTCTTATGTTTTGCTTCACTGCCGGTCTCCCCTCCAGGGGCTGAGACACCCCAGCCATCCCAACAGCCCCCTCAGCTGCCTGTGCTTGTTATTCCGATGTTCCGAGAGCCAGACCCAGTGGGACGCCTGCCTCCTTCCACCATGCACAAAGTGACAAGGGAGAGTGTGCTGACAAACAGGACTGCCGCGAGGGTTCCACTGTTTAGATCGCTGTACCACATTCACTTCTTCGCCCCTTTGCCTTGTGGGTGTTTTCCTTGAGGTCTTTACTTAGAGCAGAATTCACAGGTCAGAGAGTTGCAGCATTATTGGAGCTCGTGGCAGACATTGCCAATTCCTTCCCCCGGACATTTACAGAGCGAGGAGCAGCAGTGTGTCTGTTTCTTCATTTGCTGGCCCGGTGGGTGTCTCTGCACTTGAGCTGCCCTGGGGAGTCAGGTTGCTAACGCTGGCCAGAGAGGGAGATGATGAAACCAGGTGGGAACCAGGCATCTCTGAGATACCGTGGGCCATGCACCTGCGCCCTGGGCCACACCTATGCAGGGCCCCAGCCCAGGAGGGCTGAGTGGAGGCTGCAGTGGGCTCTGCGGGGTTGCTGTGTGCTCTGAAACCTCTTGGAGGGGAAGAAACTCAGCCTGCTGACTTCTCTGGGCTGCCGCTAATGGCTCATCTTCTGCTTTTCTCTGTGGGTTCTCCTGTGTGGGTTCTGAGTCATCCTTGCTTGCTTTCTGTCTCCCTGTGGACTCCCTCTCGGCCCCAGAGAGTAAGGCTCAGCTTTCACGCCATGTTTGCAGCCTCTCTTTGCTTGCCTTCAGTAAAGGGCAATGCTGATGGAGAGCTGAGTATGCGATCAGCAGCTCCCCAGAGGGGCTGGGAGTCCCCAGTGGGGATTCCTCTGAACGTCTCTCTCTCTTGTTTTTCTACAGGCAAATGGCATCTTGGGCACCACAGCTCTTATCACCCCAACTTCCGTGGTAAGAATCCTTTGGGGGATTTGTTACCAGGGACACAGAAAATGAAGACCTTTGTAGAAAAGGACCCCATTCATGTTTAAGCCATCCTGCTGCTGTGGCTGTCTCTCCTAAGTTAGGACGTCTTCGTTGACATTGTCGCTCGGGTGCATTTGGAGTGCCCCTGACTCCCTTTGATCTCAGGTCCCTCTCTCTTGCCACTTTTCCTGTCCCCGCTCCTTGGTTCCTGTCTGCCCTGTGGCTCCCCATCATAAGTGATCAGTGTTCCTCCTGACCTAGTTCCTCATGTCTCAGGGAACATCTGCTGAGGTCCAGACACGTCTAGTGTGGTAAGAATTAAAAATTGTTCGACGGGCCGGTTGAGTGGCGCGATGGTTAAGAACTGGCTTGGGACGTCAGAGGGCCCCGGTTCGGATCCCACATATGAGGGCCAGTGACACTGCCCTCTACAGCTAAGATGCTGAACAACAGCTCAACCTGGAGCTGGGTTGACATGAGTCACCGGCGACGGCGTAGGCTGCAGCCCCTGTGGCAGTGGGTTGCATGGGCTACCGTGTGTAGCCAGCAGCCAGCGTGAGCGGCCAGCAGCTGCTGTGAGCAGCCGTCCAGAAGCCGGCGACTGATCTGCCTCGTCCGGGAAGAGCACAATGATGGTGCCAACTCGGGCCAGTGAAGCAACTTCCTCCACAACTAGACTGAAGAACAAAAGGACAGCAACTTGTCTGTTCCCCTTCCCCAGATTCCCCAGCGCTGTTCCCATCCCTCAATTCCCCAATAAAAATCTTAAAAAAAAAATTGTTCGATGGGTTCCCCAAAGCAGGGACCCTGGCCATGTGGGACTTGGGGAGGAGCAGGGAAACTGTGGAAACTTCACACTAGATCTTGGGTTGGAGAAGAGACAAGACGAGGGAGAAGCTCAGAAAAAAGTCAACACGAGGTCTTCAAGTCTCAGTTTCACTCTCACATCCCCTTCACCCCACACCACTCAGGCCGAATCCCGCCAGCCATCCCTTTTGAGAAGCATTTGAGATTTCTGCCCCAACCCCAGCATCTGGGGGTAACTTCTCCGTCTGATCTCTCTTGTTTTCTTACTGATGATTCATCTCTTAGAGCTTAATCTATGTATCTGTATTTTCTCTTTAGATGGGAAGTCTTTTGAGGGCAGAATTTATTCTTTTACCCCTTAAAGTCACATGCATGTAGTAGATTTTCACCAAATACTTCCTAAATGTGTCAGTAATTGCACTGGGGATGGTAAGTGTGGATTAATTCTCTCTTATGTGCTCCCACTCTGGGTTAACTAATCACAAGCTGTTTTGCAAATCTAATCTTACAGCCAGAGCCCAGCAAAATGTTCCCTTTGCATACTACAAAGGGATATTAATCAAATCCTCTTTTAATTACATACTCCATAGCACTGCAGCATTAAATCATGGAAAATTAAATTTTTGTCCTGGGTGTAAGAATGCAGGCTCCGAACAGAAGCCAAGTGTGGTGCTAACCAGTTGCTTTCCTTCCAGGGTTTGATTACTACTTTGGAATCCCTTACAGCCATGACATGGGCTGCACGGACACCCCGGGCTACAACCACCCTCCGTGTCCGGCATGTCCACGGGGCGATAGACCACCAAGGTAATGGGCGTGGGCTCCAGAGCAAGGTGAATCCTAAGGGTGTGGTCCATCAGGAGGAAATGAGAGAGGCCAACGGGGGACAGTTAAGATAGCAAAAAAGAGTGCAGGAAAACTTTTAGTGAAGGCAAGGTCCACAGAATGTTTCTACTGGACTTTTCCAGGTACCTTGGACTGTTAGCTCAACCGGTGGAGAGCCCGGTTCTGCCGTGGTCTCACACAGGTGGGGCTTCCCTCTCCCTCTGCCCGCTGGCTTTACTCCCGGGCCACTCATCTGGCCCAGACATTGGACGTAGAGGGATAGAGAGCGAGGAAAAGTGCGCAGGGCTCCTTAAGGAGCTTCCCCCCACCCCTCACCCCTACAAAGAAGCCTGCCTTCTGACATTGGAATGCCATGCAGCCACTAAACAGGATGTTTTAAAAACATATTCAATGAAATGGGGAAATACTCACCATATAATAGCAAGTGAGGAAAGCAGGAAACGGATCATCAGCAGTGTGACCTTAACTGTCTTTCTGTAGTTATGCCTTTATAGCCCTATCCAGAGAGACTCAAAGGAAGTATGCCCAGATGGTAACAATGGGTCATTCACTCTGGTAGTGGGATTCGGGGTTTTCACTTTTTTTTTTCCTTTTTCATTGTGTCTTCCGAAATTCTGTACTGAGCATGCAATACATTTATTATCAGGAAAAGGTGACACACCTTATTCAGGTAATAAAGCAACACAAGCCACATGCTCCGCGTGTTTGCACTGTGCACTGTGGTTAATTGTAAGGTCACAGGTGTTTCAGCTGCTCCGGGAAAGAGAGTCTCAGCTGACTCATTAATAACACAATAGTTAGTCTAATAATGGTCATTTATTGAGAACTTGTTGCGCTCTAGGCACTCTGTATACTTATCTGCCATCCACTGTGGGAGTCAGGTGTTCATCCCGATTTTGCAGGTAAGGAAGCACCCCTTGTTGCCCAGGTCACCCTGGCACTGTAAGAGGGAGAGATGGAGACCCCATCTGGGTGTCTCTTGAGTCCAGGGCCCATGTCTTCTCTATCTTTGCGATTCAAAGTGCCCAACCAGCAGCATAGGTATCCCCTGGGCGTCTATTAGAAATGTAGAAGTTCAGACCCCACCCTGAGGCCTGCATTGTCCTAAGAGGCCAGGTGATTTCGTGCACACGTTGCAGTGTGAGAAGCAAGGCTGTAGAACATCTCGCTGTCCTTCTTACCAGCTGTGGTCTGTGGGTCAAGCCTGTGTCACACCTGGCCATATCAAGGCATGACATATGTCAGCCCATCCCTTAGCAATCTATGCTAAATCAAGTAGACAAAAACGATTGGCTTAGGAGGAAAAAGGGAGAGAATTTAAATGATGGTGGAGTTGCAACAAGATCATAAAAAGCTGAAATATTCAGCACAAATGACAAGATTAGCCCATTGTGATGCGTAGTATAGTGATATCTTTATCTGTTTGAAAAATTGTGGCCCTTGGCAATTGTCTACCCCAGTCTGAACTTGTCCCCTAAGCTTCCATGATGGGTATGTGTGCATATAGGCGATGGGGAGTTATTATTTCTCCCGCAAGTCCTTTGCAGTACCATGGGGACCATTTCTCTACCAGACCAGCTGACCTTCCATTACCTCTACCTCTCTCCACGGTTGTCAGTTTCTCTCTTAGTTCTCTGTGGCAACCAGGACAGAGGGCTTGAGTTTTTATTGAGTTCCCAGGATATTGATCAGTGGACAAAGCACTACCCATGTGTTATTTCACTTAGTCCTCCCAATACCTGTGTAAGGCGGCGAGGGCAGCCCCACACTTCAGATAAGGAAAGTCAAGCTCTGAGAGCTTAGGTAACTTGCCCGAAATCGTGACCAGAGTTGCTTCTCAGACACACTGAGAAGGCATTCATGTGTCAGGTTCATTTCGATCTGTAAGACCAAGGGCTGAGTTTGTTTTTTCTGGGAGATAGTCTTGCTTTGACCCTGACTTTCCCCCAGTTGCTCAAGTTGCTCCGAATTCTCTAAACATGATTTGAAATGTTAAAATTGTCCCCGGCCATCTGTCCTAGCGTCAGACATCGTGTCACATGAATTTGCTGACTTAGGAAAATAAGTCAACAACAACAAGCATTGCACCCCATAGACAGAAGTCTTCATTTAGGGGTGACAGTGGAAAAAGCCAGGGAGGGCGCTACTAATTAGCGATGGGACGCTGCTTGAGTAATTCAGTCTGTTTAGACCTCAGTTTCCCTCCCTGAAAAATGGGAGTAATAATGTTTCTAGCTCACAAAAGTCTCCGTGAGCCTTACAGAGCGGCCGGGCCTGTCTGAGGAGCACACAGCGTGTATTCAAAAGGAAGAGAAGAAGGTATGGAATTGGTTTTGCACTTGAAGGAAATGGCCGACTGGAAAACCCATTTGGCAGCAGGCAATTAAGTGTTTTGTGTTTATGGGCGTCGCCGCACCAAAGCATTTTGTTCTACCCCGCAACTACTTAGGTCGTGGAAATGAATACCCTGCCGTCTGTGGTTTCCACACAGGAGCCCTAAGAGGGACTGTTACACTGATGTGGCCCTTCCTCTGTATGAAAACCTGAACATTGTGGAGCAGCCTGTGAACCTGAGCGGCCTCGCGCAGAGGTACGCCGAGAAAGCTACCCAGTTCATCCAGCGTGCAAGGTAAGGAGTCCCCTGGCCCCAGGTGCCTCTCTGCCCCCGCCCACCACATCCCCTGGCCTGGGCGCTTCACAAAGCCATGGCAGATTCCCGTTGTCCAACACAGATGGATGCATCCCTGTCTTCTATAAACAAAACTGGAAAGCAGCCCTTCTTGGAATCTCCAGGCCCAGGTTTGCAGTGCCTCAGGTGTGTCCCCAGAGTTCCTGGGCTTCCCCGTATTCCTGCTGAGGTTCTGCTCCACTGTCAGTCTCATGCGCCCACGTCCTCTCCTGTTAGGCAGGGTCTGTCCTTTGTATTCTGGGCACCCAAGGCATTCATTCAGTTCATTAGTTGGCAGGATGTATTCGTTTCTGATGGCTTCTGTAACAAGCTTACCACCAACGTATTGGCTAAAACAACAGCAATTTGTTCTCCTACAGATCTGGAGGCCAGAAGGTCCTAAATGAGGCGAAAATCAAGGTGTCAGCAGGGCTGTTTTCTTCTGGGGGCTCCAGGGCAGAATCATTCCTTGCCTCTTCCAGCTTCTGGTGGCTGCGGGCTGCCTTGGCTCTGGCCTCTACTTCTGTTGTCCCCTTGCCTTCTCTGTCTCTGTAGAAAAATCTCCCTGTGTCTCCCTTTATAAGAACACTTGTGCTTTTTAAGGGCTACCAGTATGATCTAGGATAATCTCCCTATTTCAGGATCCTTAACTTAATTGCTTCTGCAAAGTCCCTTTTGCCCTGTAAGGATTAGACCCTGGATATCTTTGGGGGCCATTATTCAGTGTAACCCCCAGGACTTAACAAATTCCAGCATCTACAGGGCTGCCCAGGTCGGTAGCCTTCAAGAGGGGCAACAAGCCAAATGCAAGGCATTAGGGAATAGTGGCGTCTGTGGTAAACTTGAAGGCACGTCCCCTGCCTAAGGGGGCTGCCGCCACCTGGCTCCAGCGTCCTGTTGCTTCTTTGTGGGAATGGGAGCCTGGGTTTTCCATTTCAGAAGAGAGACAGGAGACCTGGCCCTGGTGGGAAATCTAATCTTTAAATGTTAGAAGCGACTAATTAAAAATAATGAAAAAGCAAAACGCAGAGCTATACCACAGTGTGTCCCTAACGCATTGTATAGTGTGAGGGCTGCTGCTTTGCAACCTCCGTCAAGTCAGAGAGTGGATATTGTGAACCCATGGGCGACTCTCAAAAGTACACATGCACTTGGGTGCACACACATAGACCAGGGGTGTGCAAGCAAGCCCCTGCCCATGTGTGTGCACAACCCCCCTCTCCACCGCCCCAAGCCTGTCCTCACCCTTCACAACTGCCCTTGTCCTGCCCCTGAATGACCCTGTGTGTCCCTCTTGTCTTCCTCCCAAGATTGCAAAATCCTCAAGGGCCGTGGAACAGCTTCCAGTAGGTTCTTTGGCGTCCCCCACTGCTATAGCCTAAGTGGGCAAGAAAAACATGTGCTGCACGCCTGTCTGCTTGTGCAGAGTTGAAAATGGACTCCACCTGCGCCTGTGGGATCACACTAGCTCCTTGAATAGGCACGGATCCCCCTAGCCTCTGGCTCAACCACGCTGGACTTTTCTAGAGAGGAGGGCAGCAGGGAAGGTGAAGGCAGCAGTGCAGGAGAGCCACTGGTGTTTTGTAGAAAATAAAACCTACTTAAGGCCTAAATCTCCAGGGCAGCCCCTGGGAGCTTCAGAGATCGCATCTGACCAGCCTCCCGGGGCTTTCTGAGACCCTGCTGGCTTCTGTTCAGATGGCCGACAGGAAAAGGGGAGAGACCCTTCTCACGTATGGAGGGCTGAGCATTTCTCTATACCCTGGAACTCTGAGATAGTCTCGGGCCCTGTGGCCTATGCCAGGTAGATGCGCTGTGGCTGGTGGGTGGGGACTGGCCTCTCCAGCAGCCGTGTTCTCAGAGGGGTGGGTGGCAGCCAGCTGGGGACTGGAGACTGGGGCCTGGGGACTGCTTGCTCTAAAGGAAGTGTGATGCTGTTCATCCACCAGTTCATTAATCAGTTGAAAGGCAAATCAGCAGACACTCTCCTTTATCATGTGAAAAAGGTGAAGAGTTTGCTAATTAGTTATTAAGTGAAAAGTCACATGAATCCTGTTGGCTTTTAACATAACAGAAAATAATCCTTAGGAATGCTGATTTCTTTAGGATGTGACTTGCCAATTCATCCGTGATTTTCCAAGCGTCAGCAGAAAAGGCCCCCAGGGCCTGTGCTCCTCCGTCCACTGTGACCCTCACCCCCACCTGGGCCTTCGTGTCAAAGCTCCTAGGGTCCCTAGAGTGTGGGGTCCTGCTCTCCTCAGTCAGCGGCCCGCCCGCCTGAGGGCGTCTTTGAAAGTTTTACTTGGATCTTTACTTGAATTTAGATCTTTCACCTACCAGGGATGCTGAAAACTAATCCTTGATTTGTTTTTTTTTTTAAAGTGGCAGGCAGAGTTCTGAGTTGGCCAAAAAAAAAAAAAAAGGGAGAGAGCAGCTGGCTCCCTGGGTCACAGCTAGCCTGGCCTGTGCTCCTTACGGCCATCGTGGGGCTGTGCATTGAAGCTGCTAGATAGGGGGTAAGGATTTGGAAGGAGGAGGGTGTTGGCCACAAGTGTGGCAGTAAGTAGCTCAGGATATTTGAAATCAGAGTGTATGGTCAATAGCCCAGGGCACTCACCAGTCAGAACTAGGTCCTAGAGGTGCCCAGACGACGGACTCGCCCCGCCCTCCTGGGCTGGAACCTAGGAGCTGCCTCAAGGTCTTGATTCCCTCCACTGCCAGACTCGGACCCTCCCCCTGCAGGGTGTCCCCTTTCGGTGCCACACCCACCACCCTGCCACCTGCTTCAGGCCTCCGGTCCGGCTCCAAGGCCATTCTCACCTCTATCCTCTTCTTTCCTCTTTCTCCTGTTTGAAAGTTTGGATGAATAACGAACGAGTGAGGAAGTGAATGCGCTAATGAGCTAACGAATGAGATAGGGACCTGCGGCCTGCCTCCGGCACCTTCTCCCCGATGCTGTGCTGTCTGCCTTGCGTGGCCACCAAGCCCCTCGTCCATCCGGCCGCATGGTCTCAGGGGTCTCTCCCTTTCCTCCTCACCCCATACCCAGTTTCGTCCCCCGGTTAGGCCCTTACGCAGCATGCTGCATTTCACCTCTGCCATCCCTGTCAGTTGTGAATAATTATCTGATTAATTTTTTGGCTGCATTTCTCTCTCTCCTGTTTCCTATTGGATGTTAAGCTCCAGGGGGGTAGAAATCACATCTGTCGTGTTTAGCACTCTGTCCTTGGTCCCTGGGGCCTGGTTGGAGCTCTTCATATATAATAAATACTCCCTGAATGAGAGACGAATGCGCGAGGTACCTGATCTAACCCAACGACATGCTGGCGTTGTGCTAGGGATGCAAACGTGGATTGGACCTGTCCTTACTTTTGAGTAGCTCCTAGGCTAGTGGGGAAACAGATACATAAAAAGCTCGTTTTCATGGGGGTGTATTATCAATACTGATCAATACTGTAAGGGACTAGGGGGGCAAAGGGGCAGGGAGGAGGAAGCCGGTCACGACCCGTGATCAGGGGAGGAGTGCTGGTGGCATTTGAGCTGGATCTTAAGCATTGACGCAGGGTTTGGCTCGCTGGAGAGGAGCAGCAGGAGTGCGGGAAGGGAGGCACTGAGGAAGCTGGTGTCCAGGAGCCTCTGCGGGAGGAAGGGGGGCTGGAAGGGACCTGGGAGGGAGAGCGCCGAATGCTGGGCTGTGGGCTTGCATGGACCCTGCAGGCCGCACGGAGCCCCTGTGGTTTTCCACACGGAGCTGTCAGATCAATCTGGGTTCCAGAAGGTCGTCTGTAACACTGAGGCCCAGAGGGCGATGAGGAAATGTGGGAGGCAAGTTGCTGTTGCAGCCGTCCATCCTAGGGAGTGCAGTCAACTCCACGGGGCCACTGCTGGGAGCCGGAAACGGGGAACCAGGTGGGCAGGTGCCCTTCCTCTCCGCCTGAAGGAAGCCCTGCCTCCACCCCCAGGCCTGGCTGTGTCCGGCCAGGTGGCCACTGGGACCTTTTGTGAGAGGCGGGTGCCCCTCACCTGTTATTTATCATTTCAGATCGGGTGATTGTCTCTGGACTTGGTGGTCCCTGGGTTTTCATCTTTAGTGCATCTGCGTGCCCTGGAGTGCCTCCTCTGGCGTCTTAACTTGTTTTCCTCGTCTCTGCTCACTGCCCCACTCGTTTTGCCCCACAAATAATATGGGTCCCCTTTAGAAATGCCTGAAAGCAGAGGTGAGCAAACAGAAGAAGCACCCTAAGTGTCACACCCCAGAGAGACCCCCCCCTTTTGGCAGGTCTGAGTTTGTTCTTCTGGCCCCATTCTGTGCTGGAGCATAAGCACATGCATACATAAACAAAAATGGAATCTTACTGCCTTATAATCGGCCTTTTTTTTTTCCTTTCTTATTTTAAAGCATCAGGTATCCTCCACTCTTTATTTTCTGCTCTGCACAGGAGCATCATGAAAGGGTGGTGGCCTGATGCCCCCAGGGAGCCAGTTTGTGTGGCATCTGCAAGGTGCCATCTGCAGGAATTCTCAAATGGCATCAGGATACAGGGAAAGAGGTGCCTCCTGGGTACCACGTGTCCTCACTGCTCGCTTGTATTATTCATAGTTACTAAGGGGAAGGCTGCCATGTATTAAATACTTACTCTGGGCAGTTAATAACCACAACAACCTTATCAGGGAGGCATAACTGCCCCCGTTGGGTTAAGTTGATCGCCCAGGCTCACACGACCGTGAAATAAAAAGTCTTGAAATTTGGATGCAGGTCTCCAAAGCCTGCGCTTTTCATCGGTGCCCCTGGTGGCTGCCCAGCATTTGAAATGTGGGTCTGGCCACTGAGACACTGAATTTATATATAAACAGTGGCAAAATACACATGACGTAAAGTTTACCTTTTTAAGCCTACAGGTCTGTGGCGTTAAGAACATGTACATGGTTCTACATCCGTCACCACCGTCCACCTCCAGTACTTGTTCATCATCCCAAACTGAAACTCTGTCCCCATGAAACGCCAGCTCCCCATTTTCCCTTTCCCCCCCCCCCCGCAGTCCTTGGCCACCCACCATTCTACTTTCTGTCTCTCTGAAGCTGACCACTCTAGGGACCTCCATAAGTGAAACCATGCAACATTTGTCCTTCGGTGACTGGCTTATTTCAGTTGGCATGATGTCTTCTGTGAGACCTCATCTGTGTGGTAGCGTGTGAGACACAGAACTCTTAATGTTATTTAATTTTCATTAATTAAAATCGAAATAGCCGCACATGACTCACAGCTACTGCATTGGACGACACAACTCTAGAAATGCTGCCGAGAAACGGTTGATTAAAATGGTGAAGGAGAGGCCCCCTGTCTGGGACTTGTGTCCTGGTTTTTATGCCTGCCAAAGAGAGCTGCATGCAGGCACAGTCCCAATTAGGGGCCCCTGGGAGTCGGGGGCAAGGGGCTCTCCAGGGCTTGGAGTGATGCAGAGCGGAGGCTGGGAGACTCCGAGAACTCGATGTGGGGTGGTATAAATCAGGGTAAGCGAAGGACAGTGGGGCCAACTTGAAAGTCGAATCTCTAGGTGAACTGGGGTCAAAAGAGCAAGCCTGTATCAGCGCTCGGCATGAACGTGACTGAGCGCTTCCCTCACCCTTCCTGTGGCCTCTGAAAGATGGTACCACAGGTGTGGCCTGTGGGATGGGGCTCCATGGGGGTCCCTGCTGCTGCAGGAGGGGAAATTTGCGGTTCTGCAGCTGCCGTTGATCCGGCCCCTTGCCTGGGGATGGCGGTGGGGACAGACAGGAAGCAGAGTCCATGCAGGCTCCCAGCACACCTTTCATAGGCACCTTTAGGGTTAGAGTAGGGGTAGCCTGGGCACCCGGGTCTCTCACCGAGCCTTGATCTAGATGTTCCCAGGCGGTCATGTTCATGCTTGGCATTTCCTGTGGTCAACATGAGTCATCCATTCGTCTCTGAGAAAGGGCCACATCTGGGAATGGACATGATGGCCTGGATGCTGCAAAAAGCAGATAAAAATATGTTTGTAGCGCAGCAGCTCAGAGCAAGGGCTGTGCTCTCAGCCACATGTCCATTGGAATCCAGATTCAGTCCCTTATTAAATGCATAACCTCGGACAAGTCCTTCAGTCTCCCTCAGCCTCCCATGCTTCATCTGAAAAAGGGAACATGGGGGCGATTATGAGAATGAATTTAGACAATGTGAGTCCCATTTATTATTAACAATGAGCTCTCGGTACATGTTAAAGAACAGTGACGATTATGACAATTACTCTCAGGTTTTCATTGGCTGACAGATTATCTCCACATAGCCTAGGAAGGTTCTAAACAGGTGTGCTCCTGGGGCACTTGGGCACAAGGTGTTCTGCAGGTTTTCTCTGAGGCAAGGGACACACTGGACCAGGCAGAGAGCCTCCTAGAGAGTGACCTCTTGGCCCTCCTGTTCCAGCACCAGCGGAAGACCTTTCCTGCTGTACGTGGGCCTGGCCCACATGCACGTGCCCGTGCCCTTCACCAGGACGCCGCTGTCAGCAGACCCCCAGGACTGCACACCATATGCGTCAGGCCTCCGGGAAATGGACAGCCTGGTGGGCCAGATCAAAGACAGAGTCGACCGCACAGCAAAAGAAAACACATTCCTTTGGTTTACAGGTAAAGTAGTAAAACCCAGCCAGCCTAACTGAGATCTAATGGATAACCCTGCACACGCCCCCTGAAGACCAGAGTCTGGGCAAGTGACCCTCTTTAATGGGGCATTGCGCTTCCTTTGAACTTGGGACCCCTCTAGTGTTTGTTGGCTTGGATGCGGAGCACCTGTTCATTGGGGTCTCCAAGGCTGGGCCCCTGGAAAGGTGTGCACAGAGCGAGCAGATACCCTGCTGGCTCCTTAGGAGGTGTTGATGAGGACCACCTGGGTACTGCTCTTGTTAATGAATGACTTTGACATTCTGAACCTATGTAGTCCTCAGGCTGTTCTGAGACTCCCCCTCTTCCCAGTACCAAAGACCCTCGTTGCCACCAGTCATCAGGCCACATCTCTTAGCCGAGTGGAGCTGAACTAGTGAGCCATTTAGAGGGCTCACACAGGCACGGTGGGTCTCAGGTCCCTGTCTGAACCAGGACAGTGGTTAAAAACACTGCCTTTGGGTCACATAGAGACCTGGATTTATTATCTACAGGCCACTGTTGGGAAGGTTAGTCTCTCTAAGCTTCTGTCTCTTCATCTGCAAAATTAAGCTAACAATAGAATCTTAGTCCATCGCGTGTTGGAGGATCATGAGATAATCTAAATGAAGTCCTGGGCACATCACAGGTGCTTAGGAAATGGTTGCTGAGTTGATGGCGACAGTAATGAGTTTGCTAACGCTGTAAAGGGCCAACATCTGCAAGGCAAGAGCCTCAAGAGGGGGCTGACTTGGGGGAGGGGAAGCCCAACTCTCTGCAAGCCCCACAGAGCCTCATCTGAAGGATAGCTCTTCAAGGGTAGGGTCATTGTTTTTACAAGACCGTCTTCCAACCCCCGCTGCTGTGCCCAGGGATGTGGGACCAGAGAGAAAGTTGGTGAAAGTGTCTACCAGTCTGTTGACCGTTAACATGTTGCTTCTTTTGGCTTCTAGGAGACAACGGCCCGTGGGCTCAGAAATGTGAGCTGGCAGGCAGCGTGGGTCCCTTCACTGGATTGTGGCAAGCTCAGCAAGGTAGGGGGCTCGGCTGGGGTTAGTGAGTCCCCCTGCGGGTGCCGAGCGCAGGCTGGGACGTGGGATTCTGCCTCTGGGAGGACCACCCTCTATCCAGGCCTTAGGGCATCATTGTAAAACGCTGCTCACCAGCCACCACGTCCCAGAGAAGAAACTCATTGGGAAGGAGAGAGTTTCTGTTGAGCCCAGGGCACCCTCATGTCTCCTTTTCTCCTACAACTCCGTCAGGGGACCAGACTCTCTGGACAAGCCAGTCCATGGGTCTTCCAACATCTGTGCTCTCCCTCTACTTTTATCCTTCTGTCCTTGTTCTTTTTCCTTTCTTTTAAAAAAAAGGCATCCCACCATCTATCCAACCAACCATTAGTTCATTTCATTCATTCGAGAAATAGTTGGTGCCCAGTTACTGAAGGTTTCTATATCTATCATCTCTAAACCTTACCATCATGAAAGGCAGGTTCATCTCCATTTACAGATGAAGAAAGAGAGGCTCAGAGAGGCTAAGTAACCAGCCCAGGGTCACACAGTCTGTGAGCAGGAAGCCAGGCTTGCTACCAAAGTTGAAGTGGGTGATCTCCCCACCACACGACACTGCCCTTCTCTATTTAAACATCCATCAGCTCCCAGCTCAGTGCCCACCTGCTCTGGGACATTTTCCTCACAAGGACCTTACATTCTGAGAGAGCAACCATGCTGGGGACAGTTTGGCAGTATGGCCCAAAGGCCTGAAAACGGCATGTGCCAGTTGATGCTTTAGTTCTTCCTGTAAGAATTTGTCCTGAGGCAATAACTAGCCCAGTGCACAATGACGTGTATAAAAGGATGCTCATTGCAGTGGGTCTTTGAAAAAAATAGTTAGACATAACCTACACGTCCAGCAACAGAGACGTGTTAAAGAAGTTATGACGGGGGTGACTGGTTAGCTCAGTTGGTTAGAGCTGATAACACCAAGGTTGCCGGTTCTATCCCCACCTGGGCCACTGTGAGCTGCGCCCTCCTTAAAAAGAGTCACCTATGCCACTGTAGCATGAGAGCAATGTGTAACTAATGACCATGGCTGTTCCCCAATAAAATTTTAAAAAAAGAAGAAATTATGACACATCCATTTAAAGAGATACTAAGGAACCACTGAAATGCTGCATATTACTGACCTGGAAACATTTACATTTACTACTTTTCAGTGAATAAGGCAGGTTACAATCAATACAGAAAGTCTAATTATATAAAAACAAGCCTACGTAGTCTCAGAAAAATGTTGAAACAGACAACTGTAGCTAACAAAAGATTAGCAATGATGACCTCAGGATAGGGGAGAGAGAGTTTAAGGGTGATTTTCCCCACAACGAACTGGTATTATTTGTATCCTAAAAAATTAAAATGACTTTTTTTAGAAGGCGCTTGTCGCCAAGGGGTTCGGAGGTGGACTTGGCGAGTTTATCCCCTGGGGCTGGGTTTCCTTGCTGTTTAGCTCGCTCTTGAACTATGGCCCCCTCTGTCCATATCAGAGGACACAAAGTCCCTTTCACATTAGTCTGGCAGAATATTTGTAGATCCCTAGAACTGGAACAGCTAGCTCTGTGTGTGCCTGGCCCGCGTGCACATGCCCGTCGTGATGGGGGAGAGATGGACGGGCCAATCATTCCTTTTCGTTGGTCACCTTTAACCTGGTGTCCCTTGCATCAGATCCCTGGAGAACTTTCCAAGGGAGTAGCTGCCGGGACTCTGGCCATGTCCTGTGTCAGGAGGGTTAAGTTGGGAGTCGGGGAGCCGGGTGCCCCCTCCCCTCTCCTGCACCTATCTCAGGATTGGTGTCTCTCTGCCTATGTTGATGTCTTTGGCTCTCTCCAGTTCAAGAATTTAGTTCTGGTTCCTGGAGCTGGATCAGGAAAACATGTCAGGACTGGAGGTGGGTGCAAATGTGTTTGACACCTGCAGCAGCCTAGAGAAACTCAGTGTAAATTGGGAGTAGTTTTTTGTGTTACCTGATTACAATTCCTCCGGTCCGTACCTGGGACACCCTCGGGCCAGGCCGCCATCTTTAATGCTCAGTTGAAAAGCCTGGAGTCAGAACTCTCAGGGGTAAAAATCCAGAAGGCCTGGAGACCAAGGATGAGGGGATAAGGGTCTATCGATAACTGGCTCCTCTGCGGGGAGCTCTCTGTCCCCCAAAGACCTGCCATATCTTGTCTCCTCCCCCTTTATGAGGCAGTTTTGAAATAGTGAATCCGGTTTAAGGATATAGACTTGGGCCCATTCTTTGAGGGAAAAACGTTACCCTGTGAGAAATACACTTACTACCTGGACAACCTCATCTCACCTTTTCTTCCACTTCTTGTGCACCTACTGTGTGCCAGGAACCACTCATGCTGGGGACACGAAGATCAACCAAGCCCTTAGCTGAAAAGAATGGCAGTTTTGAGTAACATTTCTCAGACAGTACCCTGGGGATCCTGCCAAAATGCGGTTCTGACCTAGTGGGTCTGGAATAGCAGTGGAGATGTTGCATTTCCAATAAGCTCCTACGTGCTGATGTGGCTGGTCCAGGGCCCACACTTTGAGAACCACCAGTCTAGATACACTGCCCATAAGCCAGGCACTAGCCACACATGACTGTTTCAATTAAAATTAAGTTCCTTAGTCAGCCTAGCCACACTTGAAGGGCTCAGACACCACATGTGGCTGGTGGCTACCATATTGGATAGTGCAAATATAAAACATTGCCACCATGGAAGAAAGTTCTATTGGACGGTGCTGGGAGCCAACACGTAGGCAGTCATTATCATACTAGGTAAGAACTCCATGGTGGGAGCACAGGGGCCGCTCACCCACTACGAGGGGGAACAGGAAGACTTCCCTGAGTGGTTACAGTTTTGCAGGATGAGCAGGAGAGAGCCAGGGATTTGCGGGGGAGAGGGCTCTGGGCCACCTGGGCAGGAGCTGCCCAGCTGTCTATATCTGGCGCTCGTGAGGAACAAGTTTGATTAGACATCCAAGGCTGAAGGGAAAGCTGGGGCCAGCATTCGGCCATCTTTTCTTTCAGTCAAAGACTTTTGGCCTTCATGCTAAAGAAAAATGGAATCGTGGAAGGATTTTAAGATTCAATTTTGAAAGTGGAGGTGACATTCATGTAACATAAAATTAGCCACTTTCACTTGTACATTCAGTGGCATTTAGCACATTCACAGGGTTATGCAACTGTCATCTCTGTCGAGATCCTCACATTTTCACCCCCCAAAAGAAAACCCCATATACTTCAAACACTTGCTCTCCATTTTCCACTTCTCCTGGCACATGGTTCAATTTTTAAAGACGCTGTGATGTCAGTGAGGGAGAGGGGCAAAGACAGACTTACTTCCACTGAGACCAAGATGATATTAATACATGAGAGAAGCGAGTGACAGAATCTCCAGGAATATCCCCACATTCAAAGAACGTCAGGGTTGGAGGAGACTTCAGTAATCTTTATTCCAGCCACCCTGTCGGCCAAATGAGGAAACGGAGCCCGAGCAGGGTGAAGGGCTTTCCCAGGGCCAGCCAGCCATCAAGGAGGTCGCATTGTTCGGCCCCCATTGGCTTGTTCCTCATGCACGTGATGGCCATGACTCATGCCTGGTTCTGCCCGACCAACCGCTCAGCCTTCTGGGAAATCCTGTCTTCCCTGGACCCCATGGTGGTCAAAGAAATTGTCTGTAGCCCCTGTGACAATCTGAATCTCTCTAAATCCATGGGGGGGGGGTGGGCAGAGTGCAGAGGCGGACAGAGAGAATGGCTTTGGAGGCTCAGCTGTGGTTTGGATCTCGATTCAGCTTAGGAACGGGTGTCTGTGGCCCTCTGCTCACTTTCAGCCCGCTTCCTCTGTGACGTGGGGTGGTAGACCCACCTCGCTGGACTGTTGAGAGGATCAATCAGGATATTGCCTGGGAGACACTCAGTCTTTCACTTGGCCTCCACTGACCCTCACAAAACTGCCGTTCTTTACTCGCAGCCAAAACAAAGTGGGGGTACCCCACAAAGAGAGGAATTGGAAAGGGATCAGAAAAGGGCCCTGAGAGAGATTTTCCTATCAGAGGACACAGGCAGTGGAAATAACATATGGATGACTTCCCAAGTGTCCTGGGCCTCTGCCTTGGGAAACTGCTCTGAAGCTGGATTTCAGTTCCCTTAAGATAACACCCTTTTTTGGGTAAGGCCTTGCACACATGTGGCTTGAGGTGGCATCTGAGTGGCACAGCGCTGGAATTCGTGGTGGGGCTGGGACAGGATCCATTTTCTTCTTTTGTCAGGAGATCCTGAAGGTTTGCCTGGGGGTAAACACTTTCCTTTCCTCATTCTTCAGACTGGCTTCCGGTCAACTGTTCCTCTTCGCTGCTGGGGGCCCTGGGAAGCCAGGCAAAGCCCTGCACGGAAGGGGTGTGGCCAGCGGCTCAGGTCAAGGAGAGGGCCAGGGGTCCTTCTGGACCACCTGCTCCTCCTCACCCAGGTTCCTCGTCAGTGGGATGCCTGCACATCCTGCTGTGAGAGCAGATGAAAGAGAGAAGACCGTCATTGTTTTCACAACAGAGCAGGACAAACAGTACCCGCAGTCCTGCTTCTTCCCCGCAGCCAGCCTGCTACGTCAGGCCCTGCGCTGCCGCCCCCTGTCCCCCCGGCCCCCAGGCGCCCCTCCTCGCCTTCCCTTTCCTTTCCTGGCCAAGCCGCCTTGCTCAGCTGATGGGATGAGGCAGCGTCTCCTGGAATCATCTTTTCACCCTGTGCGTGCAGGGGTGAGGATGCTCCCCTGGGCTGGGCTTGCTCCCTGCAGGGGTGAGGAGAAACCGAAGTGAGGGGCAGTGGGCAATGCAGGCCAGAGCGGTCCTGCCTTCCTCCAAACAAAGAGGACATGAGGTGCCTGCCCACTGCGGACCGCGAGCCCACGGACCCCAGCTCAGGCCTGGCTCAGAGCAGCCGTCCCTCCCTTCCCCACTCCAGACCTACTTCCGACCCGGGACAGAACCAACACCTTGTTTGTCCCCTCACTGACTGCTCCCCTGTCTGGAAACTCTTGTTTTATTTGAAGAGCAGAACTGTTCCTTCCTCCCCCTTGGTGATGAGGAAACAATCTGTTGAATTTGGCATCCTGGACTTCTAGGAGACCTTGGTTGTTTGTAATTTGATGCTATCAGGTTGTTGCATAACCTTTCCCACTGGGAAGCATAATCTGCATCCTGGGCCTTCTGTCCAGTTTTAGGGGAGGGGGTGGGGTAGAGAAAGGTCAGAGGTGGGGTGGGTGAGGGAGCAGAGAACAAGAGCTGTTGGCTGCTGGCCCTGGCTGGGGGCAGGGCCAGCTGGTGGGGACCCAGTGGAAGTCGAATTGTGTGTCTTTCCGGGCCTGTGGCCACCAGGCTTGAAATGTCCCCATTATCACACTCAAAGCCACCCCAGGCCAGCCAGAGTTCTTGGTTCCAACAGAGGCCTGGCTGCTCTGTGTTTCTAGAAAACTAGTATGCTATGAACATCCTTGGCAAGGGCACATACTTATATTTAGAAACGAAGCCTGCTACTTTAGAAGGTTATAGAATGTGCACTCCTCAGAACAGGCCGAGTCGGAACTGCAAATGCCTTTGTGGACCAGGCAGGTGATATAAATGAACACATGCGTGTTTTCTTCAGTGTGGGCTGTGTCAGGGGTTCAGGAAACTGGAGACAGGGTCCTGTCTAATGACATTCACAATTAGGCCCAAAAAAACCAAAACGTCCATGCCAAATCAAATGTCAGAGGGCCAAGTTCAGCGTGTGAGCTGCCAGGTTGCACCTTGTGCTATTCTCTGTAGGTCATTTTTTTTTGTTTGGTTTTTGGTGTTTGTTTGGATGGCATTTGTGGGGCGCTTCCAGGGCCGGCACTGTGCCAAAGGACCTTGCTTCGAACTTCATGTCCATCATCTTATGTAACTTTTCCCATGACTGCATGGGCGAAGTAGTCCTTTCCCCACTTCTCTGCTGAGGAGATGGAGCAGAGGGAGGGTTAGCATTCTGTCCATGGCCACGCGGTGAGAAGGGGTGGCCCGGGAGCTAGCGCTGAGCTCTGCCTGGTTTCAAAGGCGGCTCCTACTTACCTTGCTAACACTTCTCAGACTCTGGTTCTCAGACCATTGGCCTGAGTCCCTCCCACCCTGGACTGACTAAATCAGAATCTGGGGGGTTCTCCTGGTGCTCCTGCTGTACTGAGAAGTTTGGGAGCCTCCACAGGAGCTACGCGGCCCTTCTGACTCACTGCAACGTGACACTGGGATCCTTCCTGGGAGAGACTGCTAGTGAGTCTCCCTCAGCCTGCCCTGTCTCTGTGCATCAGGGAATGCCACTTCACTTCTGTAGCCAGGGGAAAACAAGGGAGCAAGTTCATGAATCATGGTTCTGTTTATGTGTTGGTTGCTGAGGCTAAATATTTATTGCTTTAAGTAAGAGGTTCTGCCTTAATTAGAGTCATAACTAACCGCAAGTGCATTGAAATGCGTTCTTATGGCTTTAAGACATGCTTTTCTCAACAGAAAGCCATATCCGACCAACCCTTTCCATGTGCCAGGGCCACTGATCAAAGTAGTAAGGTTTATCTAAACTGAAAAACAGCTTTTGGAATCAAATAGCGCTTAGGAGCTTAACCTATGGACTTACCTGTTGTACTTACTGTAACGGATAGGCTCACATTTATGATCCTGTGTCTGAAGAGTGTAAAGGTGTAGGCAATATAAAACCTGTGATTCAAAGCACATAGGCTACATTTAACTTTGAAATGCGTTGTGTCCACTTCCTCATCTTGCCCCGCCTTCCCTCCAGAATGGGCACTCTTCCCCTTAAATCACCAGGAGTGTGTTGGAAGACACCGGCTGATGCCCAGGCCCCATGCCAGGCTAATTAAGTCTTGATTTCTGGGAAAGGAACCTTAGCATGGGTATTTTTTTATGCTCCCCTAGTGATTCTAATATACATTCAGGGATGGGTCGGAACCACTCACTGTCTTAGAAGGTTTAATGGGGGAGAGTACTGACTGTGTAGTTAGGCCTGGATTCAAATCCTGGCTCTTGCATTTGCTACCTGTGTGACCTTGGGCAAATTACTTAACCTCTCTGAGCTTCAGTGTCTTCATTTGAAAAAGGGGTGTGATCGTGCCTCGTTCGCAAGGTTGTCTTAAGGATGAAATGAGATCATGCAGGGGAAGCACTTAGCATTATGCTTAGGACTTAACTTGGTGCTTAGGACAAGCTCATTCAATAGGCGATAACATTGCTACTGTTGTCATTGTGTTTCACTGAGAATGAGTTTCCATTAGTCGGAACGTGTATCACTGAAGCGTGCTGGGGGACCAAGGGCAGCTACCCTGGGATTCGGCCTATGCTCATGCCGATAAACACAATAAACGCTGGTATTCTGATAATCAGATTCCACAACCCTGGGGACCCACAGAGAACGCTAGTCGGATCTTTTAAGTTTGTCCACCTCACAGCAGTGCCACTGAGATACAGGGATTTGGCGTAAGTAAGACGGTGTCCATGCTGTGAAGAATGTATATGTTTATCATTGTTTACCCACACCCTGGACACTTTTAAGATAACTTCCTTTGGAGTATGAGGTCTCAGGCCGTGGCTGGGATATGTAATTGTGTCTCTCTGTTAAAGCCAGAACCCCAGGTGCAGCCAGCATTAGCGGGCCAGTCTTGGTGACACAGAGAGGGACGGCCCCTCCAGTGGACACTTGGAAGGACTTCGCTCAGCCAACCTTTCTCTCTCTTTCTCTTAACTCCTGCATCTTTGCCTGTGGACTGTTCACTTGGTTGACATATACACGTTTTATAACTGGCTCAGTTCCAGCTAACCCCTCCAGCTTTCAACCCTCCACTGAAATAAGGCAAACACACTGAAATATTTCGCTCTGAAAAATGACTTAGGAAAGTCAATTGCCTGAAAAAGAGCAACACAAAAGTTTGTGGCAAACAAGCAGAACCCCTAGTGGCGATGACCCATGAGCAGATTTATTAATGAGGGGCTAGTGTACCGTTCTGGAAACACCCTGGAGACAGAGACCAAGCCCTGTGTGCCAGCCACTGTTTGCAGTGCAGGAGCGATTTCCTGCCTCCTGGTGGACCGTCAAAACTATTGATTTATTTCCTGGACCTGAAGCCGTCACCTTTCCTTAGCATCTGGCCTTAGAGGCTAAGCAAGTCTGTCTGAATTTTGTGCACATGTACATAAGCGGGGCTCCATATTTGTACCCACGTATCCCCCTAAGCTTCTACATGAATGCCCCTCTTGGGTGGGATTACCTGTGGAGCCCTGGCGTGCGGTTGTGGGGGTTCCCTTCTTCTTTGCTCTTGGGCCCCAAGCTGCTGCATAAGTCATGCACTCCAAAGCTGCGTGGGAATACATTTCATGCTCTCTGCAGTCCTGGCGTCTCTGCCCCATGTGGATCAGTAATTGGTAGTGGGCTCTGTATGTATGTATGCAGCTTTCAATGGGAAGAGTGTATATGAGACCTCTTGGGCCAGGTCAAAGAGCTTCCCATGCAGCCTGCACAAGTCCATTTGGTGTTGAGAACCCTATACCCCTAAACCCGAACAGTGCATCTGAAGAGAGTTGTTTTGTGTTTTGTTACTTCAACACTTGGGGGACTCCAAAGCTGGTTATGAGAAAATCCCAAGAATGCGGAGCATTTCCGGTGTGGTGTGCTGGGCCAGGGACATCAGAAGTTCAGTGTGAGTGCAGAGGACAGAAGCCTTGGTCGGGTGGCCCCCTCCTCCTCATCACCATTACTGTCACATTCACGCCCGCCAAGCTGGGAAGTCGCATGACCGAAGACTGTGTGAGCTACACACACGTTTGCTTTGGCAGGGCTCTCTACACGCTAACTTTGTGGAATCCTTGGCTCAACTAGGATGAGGGTGGGGTGTGTGTGGGAGTGGTGGGGATGGTCATGGTTAATTCAACGCAACATGTATTCAGGATGTTTCCATAAAACATGACCTCATCTCTTCCAGCCCGCTGGTCATCATTATGCTGGTGGTCACTTTGGACTTAGTGGTTACAAAAAGAATGCCTTCAGTTACCAAAGTGGAAATTCATAGATTGCACATAGATTGTCCTTACCTCCCCCCAAGAGTTAGGAGGTCGGGGCTATTACTAACGCTGTCTCCACAACATCAGAACAATTCCTTAATTCAAGGGAAAACAAAGCACAGCAAAGCAAAACAAAATACATGCCAGATCAGTTGTTGGGCGTTGGGTAGCTCACATAGCTGGGCAAGTTCCTGCCTTTCTCTCTTGTCAAATAATTATATTGTTTCATCCTAAACAGGCAATCACATTATGATCAGTAGGAAGACAAATTCATATTTGTTAAGCACCTGTGTCTTGGGTGCAAAAGACCGATGAAGTCTCATGGTGTGGAGATACACGATAAGCAAGTCAGTAAGCCAGACGATTTGAAGCGTGAGACATGTCATGAAGAAAATAAAGTGACGTGATTCAAAAAAGAGTGTCTGAGGCAACTCCTTACATATGTTGAGTCCAGTAAAACAAAAGCACGGATTGAAAGATATTAACTAGTCGCATAAAAAGAGCTGGTTCCAAAAAGAAGTCTCTCCTTTGTTGTAATTATCAGAAGCTCTCAGAGAGGGACTGTTGTCCCAGAGACTAGCTCTGAGATGGAGAGAGGACCCAAGTTACCATTGTCAAAGAGCCAACTGCCTCCCCTCCTTTCACAGGGGGAAGTCCAGCCAAGCAGACCACCTGGGAAGGAGGGCACCGGGTCCCGGCTGTAGCTTACTGGCCTGGCAGAGTCCCCATCAATGTCACCAGCACCGCCTTGTTAAGGTATGAGACCCCAAACTACCTTGAGATGTTGGGGTGTAGAGCAAAGAAAGCCATGGAGTCTTGAGTGGTTAGAGGCCTCAGGAAGAGAGACCGTGTCCACCACCTGCCTTTCCCAGATGTTCTCAGGTCGTCCCACAGCTCTGATGGTAGCAGCATGGATCTGCCAATAGGCAGTTCGACCCAAGTGCAAGATAAAGCGGTAGCACCGTGGGAGCCTTTTCAAACCATCCTTTGGGTTACTGTCTGAGTGAAGAGGGGATGGGTGAGCTTCATGGCCTTCTGGTGTTGACTCTGGCTATGTCTGCTGAAGAGAAAGCAGCCACAGAGAGGGAGGCATGTGGAATCTCCCTTTTGCCTGGGGCCAAGCCGATGGGAGGGAATAGCTCATTTGAGCTGTAATTATTCCATCCTTGGGGGTTAGGGCAGGAGTCCTGGATGGGGGTGGCAGTGTGAAGCCAGCATTTCACTGGCAATCCCGTGGCCCTGAGAAAGGAATGTAGATGTCTTCTTGCCCTGGAGGCGAGGGAGAAGGAACATAGAAAGACCGAATCCTAGGGAAAGACAACCTTCCTACCTCTGACACCGAAGCTCCTGTCTACCCTGAGGTGAGTCACTGGGTGCTTCCTTTGTGAGAAGGATGGCTGTAAATGTGATCTCCTTACCATCACCCTTAACTCCTCATTAAGGCAGGTACTGGAGGCCATCTCCTTGGCACAGAACTTGGCTGTGGTGTGCCATTCTGAAAGCAGTGCCATGCCGCTGTGTAACCATGACTTATAATGGGGATTTCTCACTCATTCAGATGTGGTTCTGCCCTCAAGAGGGGCATGGGGGACCCGCAGAGAAGCCAATGCCTGCTCATGTGCTTGGAGATTTTGGTCTGTTTAGAGACTAATCTACTAGTTCCAAAGGTTCTTCACCATCAGCCAAATGGGTTCTGGCCTAGAGAGCACAGCCTAGGAGGAAAGTAAGTGCCAGCATCCCGAGATCTGGTAGCGGGGAAGGACTGAGCCCAGGGGACAGAAAAGGAAAACAGCTCTGATGGCCAAAGTAGGGAGTGGGGAAGCACTGCCCCTGGCAGCCTGTGGGCCCCCAGGACTGTGGGTCAGCCCTGTACATTCAGGAGGGGTCAGTGTGCTGTCACAGAGTGCCAGCAGGTGTGACAGCAACAGCTCGGGCTTGAGTCTTGTGATGTCAGGCTGGCCGGGAAGAGGGCCAGGAGGGCTGCTTTTTATGGGGCTGACTCGGTGCAGTCAGGCCAAGTGTTCACGGGCTGGGCTGTACGTGCACGAACAACCCGGCCATCTCTCAAGTTACATCACCGAAAACTAAGCACGCACGTCTCATTTGAGACCAGTGTTTGCACCTACAGTTAATGAGGGCACCGTGATAAAACTGCATCACCTGGTCGATTATCTTGGGCCTCAAGAGGTGACAACTGACTTAGGGGATAGTTTGGGGACTGAAGGAAGTGAGTCTTGGTAGAAGGAAACATTTAATGGCGGGCCCTTGGAATTTTTACCAAGACAATAACAATACCAGCCCCTTCTAGGATATTTTTTGGTGTTAAATTAGTCTCGAATTTAGCAGGACCATTTGTGCCCATAGAATCCACTCTGTTGCTGTTTCCCCATGTGCATCCATGTAAAGCAAACGTGGGTGGAAGACCCTTGCTGCCAGGACAGGCCACTGCATGTCTGCTGGCTTTTCCGTGGCTCCCCCAGGGTCAGTTCCACGGAGAGTAATAGCCTCAGGGTCTATTTTCAAGAAACTAATGCTGACACTTCCTGTGCTTGGGAGCCCAGCACTCCCTCCCAGACTGCTTATCGCTAGTCTAGTCCTTTATTCCTCAGAGGCTGGAGATCTTTCTCCAGATCAGAGATACCGGTAACTCCCTTGAGCCAAGGCCAGAGTCCCTTAACCTACATTCTGGTGGCCCTGAGGAACTGTGGGCATCAAAGAGTACATGAGTTGATGTAAGTATGCGCATGAATTACAAAACAGTAAAAAGTGTTTGGGGCGGGGGTGTGTCCTGCAGGGGAGCAGGGCTCTACACTAATCCCATTGGTTGTCTTTTAGAGATAACCAGTGTTCACGTTCGGGGTGGGGTGGTGCACCCATTTGATGTAATGAGATCAAAGAAAGGTCTTGCACACACCCTGACCCCAAAGCCCAGGGCCATAAGTACAGACTGGGGGAAGTTATTCAGCAAATGTGTATCCACCTATGGGTCAGGGCTGCTGTAGGGTCTGGGCATTCAGTAATGAGCAAGTCAGACAGGCTCACGACGCTTAGGAGCTGACTGGCCTGCAGGAATGCAGGGCTGGGGCAGCACGTGTGAAGGGGCCTGGTGGTAGTTTGAATCCAAAACTCCGAAGTGGGGTGTTTTAGCCTCAGTACTGTTGACATTTGGGGCTGGATCGTTCTCTGTTGTGGGGGGCTGCCCGATGCGTTGTAGGATGGTTAGCAGCATCCCTGGCCTCTACCCACGAGATGTCAGTTGCACCTCCCCACCCCCAGGTGTGACAACCAAAATGTCTCCAGGCAGCTCCCCGTGTCCCCTGGGAGGACCAGCTCCCGCTGGTTGAGAAGCAGAACTTTAAGGGGTTTCTCTTAGCCATGGATAAAAAGATGAAGGGCCTGCTGTGTGTCCGAGCTGGGAGTCTCCCTCTCTGTTCAGAACAGAGAGCCTCTCTTTCAGAGATGACAGGGGCAAGTACAAGGTAACCAGGGTGGTATGAAGGACTTGAAACCATCTAATCTGGAAAACAGTGAACTCTGCTGTTTAGCCAGGAGAGCGGGAATCCCCTGGGGAACCTCCTGGCTCCCTTCCCGTGTCCGAAAGGCAGTCATGTGTGGAAGGGGATTCGACGGCTTCTGTGCTCATGAGCCACAGAAACGTGTCCCAGAAGTAGGAGCTACAAGGAAAAGGTATTCACGTCAGTGTCCTGTGGTTTAGGCGTCATCCCTGGGCAGGGTCTAGTCACAGGTCCCTTCTGAAAGTCCACCCCCCCACACACACACACACACGTCCTGTATCTGGCAGTGGGCAGCAGCAGGGGGAAATGGCGAGGTGGTCTCAGCCCCACCTGCCACGCTGGGCTCTGTTAGGGACATGCACGCTTTGCTGTTAGGCTCTACTAATGCTCTGGGGGAAGCTGCAGCCCCTCAAACCTCCCAGCAGGGCTTGGGCCCGAAAGGGGTGGGTACGAAGGAAGAAACTTACAACTAAACGCCAATAAAGACTGCTCCCCATGTCCTAGGGACACTTTTCCCTCTTCCATGGTCTGCTCTCCCCTCCCTCACTCCAAACAAAGGACAGAAAGCTCCCCCTCCCCTGCCATGACCAGTCCCATGCACCCCCAGTCCTTCCCTGAGCAACCCCCTTACCCTTCTCACTTCCTGTCTTCAGATCACATCCGCCTTTTTTCCCCAGATAGAATGTCCCCAGCTTCTAGGAAACTCCCTCCCTTCCCACCGCTCCCTTTGCCCTAGGATGCACTCCGCCCCAGGACAGCCCAGCACAGCATCTCAGCTCCCATCAGCACAGGTCTTGCTCCGTGGTTCTGCTCTGAGCGAGCCTGCTGCAGCCCTTCAGCTCCCCCGCTGCCTGCCTGTGGGGGCAGGGCCTCCTGCATACCTCTCGCTTTCACCCCGTTTGCACACCCAGGTTCCTTGGCAGCTCCATGGATAAGAACACTAACAGACACACGTCCTCTGGATAGCTTTCGGTGCCTTGGGCTGGCCGAAGCCATAGTAAGAAAAAAGAAATACTGTATTTGCACACGGGCAACAGAACCTGCACAGGTGTTTCCTGACCTCTCTGATGGCAGCCGTTTGTGTGGTCGTGCAGAGAGCACCCTCAGCCTCTCCTTCCGTGAGCAGGCTCGGGGCTGCTCTTCTCGTCACCTGAAGGCCATGGAAGTGGGGTTTCTCCCCTTCTAACGTCAGGGCCAACCTCTCTGTCGGGCCCAGGAGACTGTAGGAGCACATGACATTTTTATTATTTTTTTTTAAAACCAGAAGAAAGGGAAAGAAAGAACTTTTAGGTTGAAGAAAATAGTTTGATGTATACTCTTTATATATTCATCTTTCTGTCCACACAGTTATGAAATGTAATTTTTGATGTTTTGTATGGAGGAAGGGCCCCGTGGTCCCATGAAAGGCAGAGCGTAGCCCTGCCCAGAGCCCCCATCCCAAGTACCTCCCAATGAACTGCAGAAACGAGAAATTGTAGGTTTGGGGGGTTTGGGTTTTTTGTTTTGTTTTGTTTTCTTCTGTCTCTTTCTCCAAGGTCTTAAGACTCCCAGGACCAATTTCTTAGGTGAGGTTTGAGGTTTGGAGCAGCGGGGGTCCCTTGGGTAGCCTTCATAGAGCCAATGGTTTCTCCAAGTTCACACCTAGGCTGGGGGCCAGCCCTGGGGTGGCCTTGGGACTGTGTGTGCTGGGAGGCTCTCCCCCTTCCCAGGGAAACCTCAGGGGCTTGGCTCCCTCCATTCCATGAGGAAGTACTTTTGACAGCCCGAGCTTGCCAGTCAGTGCTGGGATTGACAAGTCTCTGGAGACACTGACACTTTTCTCATGGGCCAGAGGTTTTCTTTGTGTCCGGGTGGATTAGGTTCCTCTGAGGTTCCCAGTAAATTCTGAGGCACTGGGGTTCCGAGAACTTTAGACTCACTGCTATATAATTAGGATGATAAGCGTCATAATAGAGGGGAAAAAATAAGATGGAAAAAGACAGTGTACCATGCATTCCAAGACCTAACTCAGATCCTGTTTTTCTTGCTCACTGATTTGACCAATCTGTGACAGAGAACTCTCCTAGGGGCGCAAGTGAGGGAAAACTCAGACGGCCCCAGCCTCCACGGCCTTCTCACACTGCATTGCAGTCCTCTGTGCTGCCCAAATTGCGGCAGGAACCTTGGACTCCAGACAGGTTTCTGCCCTGTGCTACACTCTGCAAGTGCTTACTCTGCACTCCTCGATGTTGTTGCATCAGCGTGGGATGCCCGCTGAGGGAGCATGTATCTCAAGAGATAAGCCGCCCGCTATGTGGACTGTAAAAGCTGAAGGCAAACCAGAAACACCCTGTACCATCGTCAGAGGAGAGATTCTGCCTGGGGTTGTAGGCAGAGCCCTGGGGAGGAGAAGGAGGCTGGCACAGGGAGGAGGAGTTGCATGGCACATCCCACCTGCAGCTGCTTTTGGAGGGCAGAGCGCCCCTCCCCAGACCCCCGGTGGGGAAGCTGTGGCCCTTCAGGTCCACATGAGTGAGTCTGAATTTTGCTGCTGTGCCTGGCTTCAGGCGAACCGAACCGGGGTCTCTTTCCTGGGGAAGTCCAGCCTCACATTGGCCCTGCCCTCCCGGCTCCATCAAGCCCGTCGACTCTGCGTTGGTGTGGCCCTCAGATAAACAGCTCTGTTGAAAGGGTATCTGATTGGTTCTTGCTGCTACGCTGTTTCCGATGGAGCACAGCAGGCTGGAGGGAGATGTAGAGTAAAATTGTACCACATGGCTTAAAAAGAAAAAAAAATCACACTAACAAAATCCACCACAATGTTAACAATGGCTGCCTTTAGGGGGTGGGCTATTCAGGGGTTGTTTTCTCCTTTATATTTCTGGATGTGCTAGCTTTTTTTTCTGTCATAAGCACTTACTATTTTGTGATGGGGGAACCAAAGAGCCAAATTAAAGGGGGTGAATGTTTCACACATTATGACGTTCTAAACAAAGACTAGATATTTGCGACACAGAGACCCAGGGAAGGAAAAACGAAGCACACGTTCTCTCGCAGACACCTGTTGCACACTGTCCCCTCTCAGTGAGTGGCCTAGTTTGTGACAGTAGAACCGCTTAGTTCTTAGGTCCTCAGGGGTGCCCCTGTGCATAATCATAGCACACACATCCAGTGAGCACCTTCCGAGTGCCAGCTCCCTCTACGTGCCTTACCTGTGTGCCTCATCCACCCCCACCAGCTTATGAGCAGGACACTATTATTACCATTATTACTGGACACTATTAGAGAACAGAAAACTGAAGCACTTGGGAGCTAGATAGGTGGCAGCACTGGGATTTTAACCCCAGCAACACGCGGCTGCAGAGCCCGGGTGCAGAACCACCAGGCCCTTCTGCCTCTTGTAGGAGCGGAAATCCAGGTGGAAACAGACGGAAGGACAGGCAGGTGGAGGGGGCGGGCCATACGGGAGGCTGTCAGGGCTGGCTGGGCTGGGTTTTTGCATGGCCAGAGAGAGAGGGTCTGGGACTCCTTGGAGCCAAGGCTGTCTTCTTCTTCCTGCAGTGTGCTGGACATCTTCCCCACCGTGGTAGCCCTGGCCGGGGCCAGCCTGCCCCCAGGCCGATGCTTTGACGGCCTGGATGCCTCAGAGGTACTCTTTGGCGGGTCGCAGACTGGGCACAGGGTAAGTGGAGTAGGTCCATGCCCCGCCTGGGGTCTTTTTTAAAAAGATTTTATTGGGGAATTGGGAAGGGGAACAGTGTTGGGGAATTGGGGAAGGGGGAACAGCCAAGTTGTTGTCCTTCAATCTCAGTTGTGGAGGGTGCAGCTAGCTCAGCTCCAAGTCCAGTCGCCATCCAGCCGCCCGACGGCAGCTCAGGGCAGCTCAGCTCAAGGTGCCGTGTTCAATTGTAGTTGTGGGTGGGTGTAGCCCACCATCTGACGCGGGAGTCAAACCAGAAACCTTGTTGCTAAGAGCACGTACTCTAACCACTGAGCCATCCGGCCGACGGGGCAGCTCAGCTCAAGGTGTTGTGTTCAATCTTAGTTGCTGGTGGGCGTAGTCCACCATCCCATGCGGGAGTTGAACTGGCAACCTTGTTGTTAGGAGCACGTGCTCTCACCAGCTGAGCCATCCTGCCACCTATTGGCAGCTCAGCGGCAGCTCAGCTTGGGCGCAGCTCACTGGCCCAGGTAGGAATCAAACCGGCGGCCCTGTTGCTCAGAGCTCGTGCTCTTAACCAACTGAGCCACTCGGCCAGCCCTGCCCAGGCTGTTGAGGAGGTTGGCCTGCCACCTCTCACCTGGCCTGGCCATCTTTGTGCAAACAGAGCCATCCTCAAAAGATGCATGCAAGTGGCCACATGAGATCTGGTAGAAGAAACCCCGAGGGAGACTCTTCTGAGATGAACCTCTTTCCACTCCCTTTCTCCTCTTCCCCTATCATCAACCCAGGTTGTCTATCCAGATCTATATGTAACGATTTGGCGGAAGGTGGGTTCACTCGGGTGCTTATTCCCTGTGAGAGAACCTTGAACAGCTGGGACAGCCCCCTGACTCCTGGTGCCCCCTGACTCACTAGCTTGGGGCTTTGCTTCCCAGAACCCCAATATCCCCTCTTCAGGTGGTCTGAAGCACAGCCAGGAAACGTCAGGCCTCGTGGCCTTTCCCTGTCATTTCCGTGTGTCTTCCTTTCACCAAAAGGAAGAGGAAGTGAGAGGAGGGAAGGAGGCTACAGGAACCGGAGCCGACTTTGTAAGGCCGGCCCTGTGAGCACAGGGCTTCGCAGTAAGGGACTCATACATCAAAGGGTCTATTTATGTCTTTCCCGAGGGTCACATGGAAGTGACTCAAATGCTGCTCCAATGTACTCTGGTGGTTCCTGAGGCTGTCCTCCCAACGCTGCCGGCCCCAGCAAGCCAGCACACTGAGCCTGTGTGGGCCATTGGTGCTTCTGTGAACAGTCCTTAATTTCTAGGGGTTGTCAGACAATGCCTGGAATGTCCCCGGAATATCTGAGCCTCTAGACCTGCAAACGCTGCCAGGCTGAGCCCCACTCCTGAGCAGCAGCGCGGCAGGAAGATGGTTTCCGCCTTCAGGCTGGAAGTTTGCAGTATGTGACCCTGGGGGGTTATTGAGGACGTCAGTGGAGAGGTGCTCCTGAGTGTTTATCACCATGGCTACTAATAGAATAATTGGGGTCACCGGGAAGTGCTTCAAGGACTGTGGTCTCCTTGACGTTGTCGGTGGCCTGTGGAAGCCAGCTCCTTTGCACTAACTTCCGTTCTCAGAGGGGAGAGCCCTCGCTTTCTTAAGTCTGCAGACTCACGGAGGCCCCATCCGCGGGGCTTAACAGTTATTGGTCTGGTGCCCATTGAGGTTGGGCCCAGGAATCAGGTAGGAGGGCCAGATACAAGGCACAACACCATTTGGGGTTTTCGTGGTGACATATGATGTGTGGTAATGCAGCTGAAGTTGGGCTTATTTGCTCCCTAACCACACCCCACGGCCCAGTTGGAAACAGCCATGATTTACTTACTGCTTACAGGAAGCTGCTGCTGATATCTCCAAGAGTAAAACGTGCAGGG